AAAATCAGAAAATTTCTAAAAAACCAAAACATAATTAAAATACTAAAAATAATTAAAAAAATATTGAAAATTAACATTATTTTACATTAATAAGGGTATTTACTTAAAATAATAAAAATACTAAAATACAATTAATAGTATTTTATTATAAAAAATACCAAAAATTATTAAAAAAATACTCAAGCCAAAAATTATTGAAAAATATTGAAAAGTAGTTGTATTTTGTAATAACTATGGTATTTATTTAGTTATTTAATTATTTTTACTGAAAGCAAATGCAAATTAATTTTGTAGTGAATAATATGCAAAAATAAATGATGAAAATATTGGAAATTATTGAAAAATACTCATATGCAAAAAATACTAAATAATAATGAAAAACCACCAAAATTTAATTAAAAATCCAAAAAATTCTGAAAAACCTAAAACTTAATTAAAATACTAAAAATAATTAAAAAATAAATTATTGTATTTTATTGCAAAAAATACTGAACAATAATTAAAAATAATGTATTTTCATTCTTAATGGTAATATAATTAACAACAATTATTTTTAAATTGTAATTAACAGTAATTATAATTTAAGCTATAAATAGTAGAAAATTACATTTAATTAGTTTTAGCCAATAAATTAGCAATATTTCTGAAAATATGATAATTTTCAAAAATTATTGTATTTTAAATAGATACAGTAATTTAATAATTATAAAATTTTAACAGCTAACAATATTTTAATAATTAATAATAATAAGTAACAAATCATTTATAACTTAACCTAACTCGATTAGGGCTATAAATTTGTAGGCTCAAGCAACTATTTTCTTTTGAGTTAGGTTTAACTGAGATATGCACCATGCCCACACATTATCAGGGATAATTAGATCCAAAGTCTAATTGGGTATCAAACTTTTGGAGTCCAATGATAGCTTTAGCAGATAGGGCCCAAGCAAAATAACCCTTAATAATCTCAACTTGGAAGTTATATGCATATATGGTTTATATTAACATATATAGAAATGCTATATATTTTTTATACTAGACTAGAATTAAATAAAAAATTTAATTTGTAAAAAATCATAGTTTTATAATTAACACATGCCCTCTTTATCAACAGAAAATGTGCAAGCCCAAGACCGAGCCCGGCTTGACCATCAGCCCTAGATCTTGAGCTCGAGCCCAGCCCTTATATAAAGCCCAAAGCCCGATCTATACACAAAATGTCTTATTTTTAGTATATTTTTATAAACTAATATTATATTAATTTAGTAATAATTTAATAAATTAATAAACTAATTTATATTTCCTAATAGTAAATTGATATTTATTAAGAAACATATATATATATATATATATATATTATATTTATTATATATAATATAAGTACCTTTTTACATATGTAATAGTATCAAGCTGGGCTTATTTGAGAAAGCTCGAGCTCGAGCCCACGAGCCTAAAATTGTCCAAGCCTAAAAAATAGCGAGTCAGGCCGGGTTGGGCCATCGGGCTACCTAGCCCATGAATATGTCTAATTGTATATATAAACAATTGTATACATCAAAAATCATATAAAATAAAAATTTAAACATTTTTTTAAATGGACCTCTCATAGCTTGGCTCAATTTGCGGCCTGGCCTGGCTCAAGGCTCAGCCCAGCATGACCCAATTTACACCTCTACTTGAGCTTGCCCAATACTAGGGACAGGGCGGCAAAATTCGAGAATTCCCCATCCTTGATGAGGAGTGGGGTGCCTTGCCCCTGAACTTGCCTGACATTGAGGAGTGGTTGCATTGCCTTGAACTTGCTTGACATTGGGGACGGGGTGGGAATGGGGTAGAGTGTCTTGACGATGGGGCAGGGACAGGGATGTTGGTGCCCTGCCCCGAATCCACCCGTTGTCATTCCTATATAATTGTTAATTATTAGTGAAATTAATAAAAATGTTAGTTTTTGTAGTTATTTTTATTTATTTAAAGTTCATCAAAATTTCATTTAAAAATAATAACAGTTATTAAAATTACTATAAATTATTAATAAAACTAAATTTATTAAAAAATATTTTTTCATATTAAATTAACAATAGTTACTTTCTATAAATCAACATTAAATAAAAATACAATTATTAAAATTTTAGATATTAACAATAACTTTGAATACTTTTAGTTAATTAACAATTTTTTTATTATTAATTTAATATTAATTAAAATTAAATAAAATTATTAAACCTTTCAGATTTTCCCATGCATTGCACTGGTTCCCGCTAGTTTTTTAATTATTTTCATCATATATATGCATGTTTTTTATAAAAAAATAAATAATATAACAAAATTATAAAAATGCAATATAAATAATATATTTATAAATAAATAAATAACATATATATGAATTTTATCTGAACAGGGGTGACCCGAATTCAACCAAATAGGATCGGATCTCCTGATCCAATCAATTTGCACCCCTACATCTAATCCAATTATTAAACGGATGCAAATTTTAACATCCAAATATGAATGGGTGTTAAAGTAGGTATTGGATTTTTGGAGTCCATTGACGGACCTACATATATGAAATGAGTCCAGGCCGGATATGCTGGCCACATTAACATGGCCATACATTGCAATGCAAATATCAGCGCTATAAAATATAAGAGATGTTCTCAATGTGCAGTTGAGTAAACGTGGCCAGCAGATAAAAAAAAAGGAGTCCGGATCTGTTCCTCACACCAACCTTACAAGCACATCTCACCATGTATTGAGAACATCTCCCGTATTTATGTGTTATTATTCATGGGAGATATTCCCAATACACAGTCAGATGTGCCTATGTGGTCAGTGTGAGGCACGCTTTGTGAGGAGCAGATCTCAATTCCTGAAATAGCTAATTAGCCAATTTGATGAATAGAAACTAGAAAGTCTGACATTTGGACTTGGGTTGGACTAGTTTTGTTCTCAGCCCAACCCAACCGAAGGATTGGGTCAGGCCATTTTCAAATTGGCCCTACCAACCTTCTAAAGGGAAGTTTGGACACAATTATGGAAGTCCGAATTTGCTCCTCACAAAGCTTTCTTCACACGGACCTTACATCATATTCCAGCTGCACATCGGGAACATCTCCCATACTATTGGTGGGAACATCTCCTGTACTTGTAAGTTGGAAGGGAAAAGGGGAAGGGAGTGCACTAGTGGTTCCTTGGAGTCGTCTCATGGCATCGCCTTCCATAGGATTCCATTGCTTCGTGCCAACCTGTCATAATTGAACAAATCTCATGGTTTATATAACATTGGCAAAATTCACTAGAAAAGCAACAAGCATTACATCTCTCTCTCCATCATCAATTTGCTTTTCTCTTAGAAAGGGCCGCTCCACAGTACATCCCCGCCTTGTATTGAGAACATTTCCCGATGATGACATCATCGGGACTGGTACTATCATCGGGAGATATTTCCAAGACACGGCGGGGATGTACTGTGGACATTTTTGACTTTTGGGTGTTGATCAATACATATTGGTGAGAAATATGTATTATCCCATCACATATGAGAATCACTTCAACTAGAAAAATGCATGTATAGAACTGCTCATTGAAGTTTCAGGTAGAATCAACAATTTGTATTAATCAACGGAGAATGTATCAGATGAAAATAGCAATGGTACCAAACACAACCCAATGTCTCCAATTCCGATTAATTTCAAGACGACTAACAGAGTAGTCTGTGTTAGTTCATGCCCAAGTAGGCAAATTAGACCTGTTTTCTAAACTATTTCTGCTATATACAAGTTGGAGTTTTCATAGTGAACTCATAACTCGTTTCACGATCTGGGCTGGGCATGACCTGTTATGACCAAGCACAATGCACATACATGTGGTTGTGTTTGGTATTATTGTTGTTTATAGCTGAAACTAATAGCAATTTGTATTGATGGTAGAAATTTCAGATAGAAGAAAAAAAAAATCTCCTTCACAAAGCTGTATTGACAACTCAAAATGTTTTGAGGTAGAAACAGCAATGGTACCAAACAGGAAAAAATAAAAAACAAATAAATAAATTCTTGCTCTATGGGCCTCGGCAAGAGTGCAATTCACATGAAACATTTAGTTTGCGTGTAGATTTGGAGAGAGGATTTGGATTGGTAGTGGAACCTTCTAAGTTAAGTCAAAGAGGAAGGTGAGTTTGATAGGCAATGTGGGACCAGAAGTCTTTATCAGTTTATCTAAGCCACAAGACTTGGACAAGAGAGACCAAACAGGGGTAACAAGATTAATTCATCTAAAGAGTAATGTGGTAGCATCCTCAAAAAGGTAAACAACATAAAACGATTTAAAGGATTTGCTGCAAAAGGGTAATCATCAAGATATATATAAATAAATAAATGGAAAACTATAATGAGAAATAGCTATTTTGCCAAATGGCAACAGAAATTTGAGAAGAATAATGGGACCATTTTGGGGTTGTCCTTTTTGCTGAGTTGAGCTTAGGTTGGCTACTTGGCCCCAGCCCCCAATCCAACCAGCCTGATGAAGATGCAGAATTGGTCCTACAATTACAATTAAAGCCTTGAATTAATGTTTACTACCATCAATTATAACCCATCTTAATTACACCCAGAAAAAATAAAGAATTGAATGTCAATCTCCTAAACATGTTAGAAAAACCTTGGCTGTCCTCAGGTAGACTTGTCATAGTCTTCATATTTTTATATTTTGAACCAAGTGAAAATGTTTGGAGAGCTTGGCAAAACTCTCTGGTAATAGGAATTTGAGCAAGCCAAACTCATACAAAACAATGACATGGTTTAGATGAAGGGCCCAAGTAGGTCAATCAAATGGTGTCTCAGTTAGAACCATCAAGGGAGCAATAAACTTGCCAAGTTACAGTAAATTCTAGTAGCAAACTTCACCAAAACAGATTATCCATATTAAGCTTGTGTCCAGGGACAGTAGAAATTGTCCTGATGTAAGTTCTCTTATTCTCAATTGCTTGCACCTGATGTGCCTTCCCCAATTCTCTCTATAAGAGAAACAGCATGTACTTGATAGAAATCAGAAGAGACCATGAACCCTCTATTCTCTGTCTTCTCCCTCTCCTTCTGGCTCCTTCCTCTCCTCTCCAGCCATAACAATGTCTTTGTCTCTAACATCATCGACCGCGCCTGCAGAACATGTGCAGAACGGTCTCCACACTTGAGCTACAACTTCTGTGTAACCTCTCTCCAGTCTGTCCCTGAGAGCAGCAGTGCAGATCTTCAAGGACTTGGAGTCATTGCAGTACAATTGGCCCAAGAAAATGCCACCAGCACAATTGCAAAGATTAAGACTCTGTTAGAGAATGAAGATGATCAACGCACCATGGCAAGCTTAAATGATTGTTTGGAACTATACTCGGATGCAAATTCTACACTGAAAAACTCGATCAGGTACTTTGAATCTGAGGATTACATTAGTTCTAATGCATACATAAGTGCAGCAATGGAATCAGCTTCGACATGTAACTCTGGGTTTGAGGAAGAAGGTGTAGTGACTCCATTAACAAAGGAGAGTGACAATTTCATTCAGTTGTGTGAGATTGCTCTGGTCATCAGCAAATTGCCTCCTTCTGTGTTTCTATATGCCTCACGAGTGATCTCAATCCTTAGTCATCTGTTTATACAGAAGTGATCTACATTAGTCTGTGTTGGTGTCAAAGTCATAGTTTAGATCTATATTTGTATAACCCATCTATGTCTGTTGTGTGATGGGGGTGCTACATAGAATTCATGGAGGTTGTTCACCTGTTGGACTTGGCTCTGTATAACCAAAATTTCCAATGTCCAGATTGACAATTGTTATTGTAATTGTAACCTTCTTTTAAGGGAGTTAGAAAAAGATTTTATGCTATAAACTTACAGAAAGAAAATAGTCCACCATATCTGAACATGGGAACTAAATTGCAGCACAACATCTGAGGGCAAACCAACTTTAAGATCAATACCAAGGCTTAAAACTGATGGCTCTTCTAGTCCTCGCAATACCCAAGACTAACAGAAGGTAGCTTGTGATTGCACATTCAGGCTTGGGATCTAGGTGATGCTTTAGAACCGCTTAATTTCCTGTCTGATTCTTGATTCATATCCTCTTTGGCTGGTGGAGGGGCTTACCCAATTTGCAGATTTCTCTATCAACTGAATTTTTGAATTTGGAAGAGTATCTCTATCTCTGTGATTGCCATTCCTCTAGCAGAGAATTACAAGTTTCAAGTATTAGGTGTCATCACTGGAGGCTGGAGCCCATGCTCTCACCCATTAAAAACCATGTAAGATTGAACTACCACCCTATCTGTTTTTGGAAAGTTATGGGCCCTCCCCTTTTTCAGAAAATGTCCATGGTTCTTGATATCAAGCAGTATTCTGAAGAATCTTAATCATATCGTAAATTATGGAGAAGGTTGAATCAAATGGAATCATGAATTATATCATAAATCACGAGATTAGATTATTTGGTTTTAAATAAATTATTAAAAATTTAAACATGAATATTAAAAACATAAATATATAAATAGAAAATTAAGAAATAATGGGAATGGCATCACACAAAACGGAATGGCAAAACAGGTTTTATATAGCCGACCCCATATATTTGGGATAAGGCTTAGACCATGGTTTTCCAAACCGGACCGGACCGACAATCGAATCAGAAAAACCGGGAACCGGTCAGGTTAGGTGACCGATTCCGTTTTACCTAAGAACTATTATTTTGCCAAAAACTGTTGATTTGGTCAGTAAACCACTGACTCGAGTGGTCAAACCGTCCAATGATTTTGCCCGTTTTTTTATTTCTTTTTTTTTTGTCAGAATGGGCCATCTGTTCAGTTTGGACGGTTGGACCATTTGACCTAGGAACCAAACCCCTGATGGATTCGTTGTCCAGTTCGGTTTTAAAAACCTTGACTTAGACAATGATGATGATGATATAGAACATCAGATAATATGATGATATGTCAATTAGCTCACATAAAACTCTTCTCTAACCATGATGGAAAATAAACCCAATAAGGCTTCTAAATAGGTCTTAAATAACCTAAATAATTCCTGGTGAGGACAAATGCCCTGGAAAATAATTTAAAAAAAAATAAACATAATGGCATGACAAAGCAAAGAACTAGATCTGTCCCTTTTTTTTTTTTGAAATGCGCAAATAAATCGCATAAATTGTAAGCTTGAGTTACCAAAAAAAATTGTAAGATCCATGCAGTAATCATAATTTTCTTTTCAAGGAAAAGAAATTCAGACATGATATTTGAATGGAATCCTTAGGGCTGTCAACGGGTCAGGTCTGGGTAGGGTACAGGTGGAATTGGAACCGATCCGATAAAAATTATTAGGGAGAATGACCGATAACCCCAGGGTCAGAATACATTTGGGGTAGGTGCCAGCTCTGAATTGATGCCAATTCATGGGTGGGTATGGTGGTTTTTGGACCTTCTGAATGTTTATAGCTTTGCAATGGGAATCAGAAATCTGTATTAGGCTGTCCATACTTTTCCGAAATTATTAAGGACTTGGAATCAAATCAGACCCGATAGGGTCTGTAATTGCAGACCTAGCTAGAACCGAACAGATTTTTTCAGGACAATTGGGTCCCGACCCAATGGCCTCGATTATAATAACATTGAAAATATTATATATAATATTAATTCATTTAATGTATGTATAATTAAATTATATATAATATAAAAGGTTCAAAGTATTGATACAGGGTGATACACCGCTTGGGCATATCAACCTGTATCGGTCCTTTTTTTAATTTTTATTTATTTTTTTCAATACCGGTTCAGAGGGGTCAGTTTATAGTTTTCAAGGTGCCAAGGCGAGGCTAGGCGATAGGGGGGCGCCTAGTCGCCTAGGCGATGGATTTTTTTAAGTGAAAAATACATATTACACTGCTAGGGCATATCGACCTGTATCGGTCCTTTTATTAAGTTTTATTTATTTTTTCAATATCGGTTCAACGGGGTCAGTTTAAGTGCCAGCCATAGTTTTCAAGGCACCAAGGTGAGGCTAGGCGGTAGGAGGGCGCCTAGTTGCCTAGGCGATGGATTTTTTTAAGTGAAAAATACATATCCTAGGTAGTTCCCTAGGTTCCATAACCCTCTTTCCTTAATAATTATCCATAATTTTCATAAGAAAATTATAAACTTCATGTTTTTGTCTACAAAATCAACATATTTATGAGAAGAAAAAGAAGAAAAAAAAATTCAATAAATATGGGAACTGAACCCCTATTTTTGTTATAGGAAAAGAAGAAAAGAAAAGGTGGAAGAAGAAGAAGAAGATTTGATGAAGAAATGTGTTGATTAGACAAAACTTAAATTTTTCCCTTACTTATTGGTTCAAATTCTGAAGTCTTTGAGGGTTCAACACAGCAGTTAGCAATGTTTGTGTTGATCAAACCCTAACAAATAAGAAAATAATAAAAAGAAATTAGTTTATAAACACAAAAAATGAATATTTTTGTTTAATAATGTCTATTTTCTAATTATAATCTCAAAAAAGTAACAATATAAAAGTATATTATAAGACAATATACAAAACTACTAAGCGACTGGGCGAGGCGAGCCTCCAAGGGCACCTTGTCGCCTAGGCGTTGCCTTGACAACTATGGTGTCGGCTACCCTTTGAACCAGGCCCTGACCCGATACAACCCCTGTAGGAGCATATCGGGAAGGGGCCGATACGTAACGATTTTTTTAACCTTGATAATATATATTAAATTATATATAATTTAATATTATATATATTAAATATATATTATACATTTAATATATATATATATATATAGCTCGCTTCGGAACTGGGTGGAACTGGTTCCAACCCATAAAGAATTAGGACAATATATCAGAAACTGGAACCAATCCATCGATTCCAATTCCTGGAACAAGAACCAACCCAATCTGTTTGGGTCTGACAGGCCCAACCCGACCCATTGAGAACCCTACCTTTAGACCCAATTGGTTTGGGTCCGTTAGGCCCAACCCAAACCATTGAGAACCCTACCTTAAGGATTCACAATTTGAATCATATCATAAATTATAAGAGTTTGGCAGCCATGCTTGATAGAGAAAATGGCAGGACAGTTTCAAACATTTTTTTTATTTTTTTGGTTGAATAATGAAAAATTTGGAATTCAGGCAAGACTGAATACCACCTGATTGGTCATCTCTTTGAAACTAACTTAACCGATGCTCAAGGATAATTTATGGTTTCTCATTTGTTCTCCAAGAGTGGATGGCAAAATCGATCTAATATTATTGTATTTTATTGTATTTTTTTTTTAGGAGATACATTTATATTGGGAAAATTCCCAATTAGTACCCTGTACTTTGGGCCTAGTGCCAATTTGATCCCCAAACTTTAAAATGCGATAATTCAATACCCAAACTTCCAAAACGTGCCAACCCAGTACCTATTGCTAACTAACAACTATTAAGTGGCATTTGAAAAGACACAAATGCCCTTTGAGCATCATTTAATTCTCTTTATCAACCATCCAAGCATTGATAAAAATAAAGTCTCAAATCTTTGCCTCTTCAATTCAAGAAAGTTGGAATCACCAAAATGACCACTGAAACGTAACTCGAATAGAAGAGGCAAGGATTTGGGACTGTTCATTTGTTGACAATGTTTAGATGTTTGCTAAAGAGAATTAGATGACACTTGAAGGGCATTTGTGTCTTTTAAAATGACACTTAATAGTTGGTTAGCAGACTGGTTAGCAACAGGTGCTGGATTGACATGTTTTGAAAGTTTGGGTACTGAATTGTCACATTTTAAAGTTTGGGGCTCAAATTGACACTACGCCCAAAGTACAGGGTACTAATCGGGAATTTTTATATTTCAGCAGAAAAAAATATATATGCATTTACATTAACTCATTTATCTGGCCAACTGGACATAAGATGCATGATGCCATTTTTGCCTTTCTTGAACATGAGATAATGGTTGTGCTTAGTACCATCTGTTTCTACCTATTTTTCAGGGTTTTGGGCTTATCAAATTTTGTGTGAGAGAGTATTTCATCTGAAACATTTTGGGTTTATCAATACAAATTGTTCTTTCTACCTGAACACTAAGTTTTGGCACTTCACTTGTATAAAAAGTTAATGATCAGTCCAAACATGCATTTTTCAACTTAATGTGTGTGAGAGAGCATTCTATCTTAAACATTTTGGGCTGATCAAAATACAAATTGTTGTTTCTTCCTGAAATGCTAAACTTGGCACTTCACCTATATAAAGGCTACTAATCAGTCCAAACCAAGGTTCAAAATATCGACACAGCTGATATGTCGGTTGGGGCATATTGGCCTTATCTTTTCCTGCTTTTATTTTTTTTTTTCAAACTGGTTCAAAGGGATCGGTTTAAGGCTTGTCTATCCCTTTAACCAGGTCACACCCCGAAACACCCCCTATAGAAGTATATTGGGAGGCCACCAATACAATATGTATCAACCAATACAGCCCAATACATATTGAAATTTTGAACATTGGCCTGAACATGCATTTTTCAACTTAAAGCAGCACTCATATGGGATGTGACAACACATATTTCAATTAGAAACAGCAATGGTACCAAACACAACCAATGGTGTCAAAACGATGGGGAGTAAAAACCAATATTCTAAAAAACAACCCAGAACTAGAACCACTTTCGCTACTAGTTTCTGGGTCAGCGATTCAACCGTCTAGTTGAAATGGATCAACCTGTTGCAATTTAAAAATAAAAAATGACCAAAACCATTGTCTGAGTTGAACAGGTCTACAATTCAACCGCCTGGATTCAGATAGGGGTGCAAGTCGGGCGGGTTGGGCTAGGTTTATGGTCAACCCAAGCCCGTCCCTAAAATTTGGGCTTAAGGCAGTCAAGCCCAATTGTCCCAACCCGAGCCCAACCTAATTGGCCCTATAATTTGAACCCGCTCTAAATAAATAAATAAATATAAATATATATATATATATGTGTGTGTGTGCAAAATTTACATATATATTCATATGTATGTATGAATCTATGTAGTTGGGTCGGGCTCAGGCTGGGTTCAGGCTACCCAAAGGCTAGGCCCGAGCATGGCCCAAAAAATAAAAAAGCCCGAATTCTTGGACCCAATACCAACTTGAGGACCAAAAAACCAAACCCAACCCATGTAAAATTTCAAGCTGGATCGGTTCGGGCTAGGGCTAGGCCTGCCCAAATTGCACCCCTAGGATCAGCAGGTCATGACCAAATCAATGGATTTTAACAAAATAATGGTTTAGGGGGAATAGAACCAATTGTTTGGCCAATTTCCAGACCAAATGGTCTGACCATCCAAATCAACAATGGTTCAAATAGGGTTGTTCATAAGAAGGCCCAAACCGACCAACCCGGGCCGACCCAACCCGAGTCGGTCGGGTTTTCATCAGCACAGATCAGTTTCGGGTTGTGCAAATTCCTAAACTGATGATTCGGGGCGATTTCGGTTTTCACACAAGAAAACTGACACCGACCCGAACCGAACCGACTTAGTTCCTAGTTCAAACATGAAGTTCCAAAGCCCATTAGGTCACCTAGTTTTTGAATGGTTGCAAGAAACTTTGGATTAGTGAATAGTGATTAATGAACAACTTTTGTGATTAACTTTTCATTTAAATTTTATCATAGGAGATAGCTGAAATGATGTTCAATTTATGATTGTTTTTAAAATTAACAAGATTTTATCACAGGGATGAACTTAGAATCGAAACCGACCCAACCCAACTCAAACCGACCAGGTCGGTTTTGCTTAACACTGGATTGATTTCGGTTTCTATGTCAGGTAACCCGACCAGGTCAGGTCGGTTGGAAAAACCACAGTAAATCAACTCAACCCGACCCATGAACAGACCTAAGTTCAAAGACCATGGTAAATACAGAAAACATTCATACCATACTCAAGCTTTCTACCATAAAATATAACGTCCTTTTACAAAGGTATTTTTGGCATTGAACCATCCATGAATCCGGTTCACCGCATCTACGATAATTTGATTGTGATCCGATGCATATGTCCAAAACGGCAGGCCCATACCTCCAAAGTCTCACATCTGTCTGTCTGAGATCAACTTCTACCCTCATTCTGATTTTTCAAATTTTATTTTTGGTTTTAGAAGGTGGTAAGTAGTAATCGAATTTTAAGTATTCACACTTTACAGTAAACGAATTTTTCCGAGCTGACAGGCTTATTAAAATGATCGATACCCCAGAATTTGTAAGTTCAGTGTACCGTTGGGATAGGTGCCAGCTCGGAATTGATGCCAATTCATGGGCGGACAAAAGTGCATAGAGTGTGGGTATCGATTCATTTGAATGTTTATAGCCCTACTGTATAAATCAGAAATCTGCATATTACTAGACGCCGCCAAGTCCAATCGTATTTCTTAGGCTGCGTTTGAAATCAAGGATCATCGGTGTAATGTTTTACACTGAATGACTGAACCTGAACTGTGAAAGTGCCTGTTGCTTTTTAAAAAAAATGTGATCGGTATAGTGTAAAGTTTTACATCGATATTGATTACATCAATAATCAATATCCAAATGTGCGTAAACATTCTCTTTCCAAATACGGATAAAATCAAACCAGTGCGTTCTTGATTTACACCGATTCTAAACGCAGCCTTACCAGCTTCAGGGATATTCTAATGGACCTCGCAATAGAAAATTCCAAATCCAAATTAGGGCATAGGAGGAAATATAAGCACAAAACGCGCACAAGAACATCTCACTTTCCAAGAAACTAAGTTCTTAGGATCAATGGATTGATTTGCGAAAAAGAACACTAAAGAAACCATGTATTATACAGATAAAGGTCATATGATCAATCAAGAATCATTTTCAACCAAGTGACTACTGGAATCAAATCAAAAAGATACCGAGTCTAGGTCAGATACATCAATCTATCATACAATGTGACCTTTGCCCCGATCCGTCCTTTGCTTTTCCATTGATTCAAATCATCACACAGGCACTCGTCTGCTCCTATACCTATCAAAGAACTGCGAAAAGAAACAATCTTCAGCTTGAAAACTATATCCATGATAATCCATCAAAAATAACTAAATGGATGATACAATATACTAGCATACAAATAAACCTTCCACAGCTGTATCTCACAAGGCAAACAATGAAATATGATTACACAAAACATGGTCAATGATATGTTGTCCCAATAAATACAAGGCATCTTTGGCAAATCAGAGACACCGGATCTTCAAAGTCACATGCAATGGTACTAAAAATGCCTTCTGCTAGCAGTGCATGAGTTTAAGCAACCATTGGGTTTTGCATAAACAAAAAACTCATGTAAGAAAACTCGGCACACATCTTCCTATGGCACTGACAAAGGCAATGCTTTACACAGATACACAAGGTTAAACCCTCCACCACTTGGTGGACCATATGACCAATTTTCTCAAAAATTGTCCACTAATAAAGGTGCTAACTATACTAAAATCTAACAAGTTAGGACATAGGAGATGGAAAACATTACCACAATATAACTTTATTTGATATTTCGTCTGACGGAAAAAGTGTATTACAAAACCATGGAGGACCAATAACAATGTTAAATAGTATGGTAGGAACTTAGCAAAAAACTGTAGTATGGTAGCAGCACTTATTGGTATTTACTTGAGAGGCCATAACTTAAACTTACAAAGTTTAGGATAATAATCGACTCAATGCTCTTAAAGGCACTGATTAAACTATTTTTAAGAAACCAGAAGACAACTAATCATTCCACTTTTTTGCAAAGGAATTCAGATAAGTTATGAACAATGAATTGATTTCATGGGCATGTGATACAATTTCATTTGTGATAGTGCTGATATAGTCCCACTGCCCCTGCTTGTTAACATCTGAACTTTGTGGCTGCACAGGTATTGGATAGGCATACCAATATCTTAATCCATCCAAAGATCAATGGCTGAAAGGTCAATGCTCATTATTCAACTAACCTAGTTAGTTATAGGGCATAGAAAGTTAAACCAGATGTAAAGCTACGGGATACAAAACTAACAAATTTGCTTCTATTAAGTCTTCTGAGCTTAAAGTGTTTTAACTGAACACCAAACATATTTTCTGCTGTTAAGAAATCAGTATTCTGAGTTCCAATTATCCTTACCGATGTCACAAATGGTTGCTGAAACACCCAACCAATAATTGGAATCCTCTGCAGAAATACGGCCAATGTAGGCCAGAAGCCACTGCACAGAAATCTCAGTCATAAATCAAGAATATCTAGAAGTAGATTATTGAGAAAAAAGATGGAGGAAAAAATCCTACCTGAAAAGTACAATAAACCCATAGGCCTCCAAGATCATTCCCAATATAGGCCACCCAATGAGGACAAGAAAGAATCCAGAACCAAATGAGATTGTACCCTGTCCAACCACCAAAAGTGTACCCCCATGAGTGAGTGAGTGAATGTGTGTGTGTGTGTGTGTGAGAGAGAGAGAGAGGCATATAAAAATAAATAAATAACAACATAACATTAAACCTTGTAGTTCTGACGTTTCATGAAGAATTGCATGGTGGATTTCAAACCAATTGTTAGCATCACCCCTGACAAGAATAGGATCTGATTAAGTGCCAACACAAGTAAAACAATGGTTAAAAAGGCATCATATAACAATCAGATCAAAGAAGAAAGAGGGAAAAAGCAATAAGATAAAACTAAAATGTCTTACTTACATTCCCCATGGCAAGAAGTCCCTTGTCGAAGAAGAAAATAATTCCCAGAAAAGAGAAAAATATGCCAAATCCTGTCAATCCTAGCCCAATCTCTGTTTCATTTGAAATTTGAAATTTTTAGATGATGGGAATTTGTATTGAAATAAACATGGAGAACAATAAAATTTAAAAAAAAAACAAGTTAACAGCTAATATGTAATATCTACAACTACAAAAATAATACATGTGATCACAGTGGTTTCACACGTTGAGGAAAGGTAGGTGCAAGGCAATCCAGTTGTTGAAGGCTTGAAGCCCAAGGTATAAGCCCCAAGGTGTAGGGTGTAAGCTTCATGAGCATCCATTTTTAATTAATAAATATATATTTTATGATTTTTTAATTAATAAATATATAAACAAAAATAAATTATAGAAATTATAAGTAGATATAATTCCTAGAATTTTCTTGTGCTGCTTGTCCATATTCCTAAGGAAGTCTTCCCTATTAGCCCTTACAGATAATAAATTAATCAAATGTATGGGGAGAAAACAGATCAGCATGGTCACTAATTCACCATGCTCTTTTCCTTTTTTTTATGAGTAACTGAAACAACTTTTATTAAATGTGGAAAGGAATTAGTATATAAAAGAATATGTTCCTTATACCCCATGAGAACGAAGACTCAACTGCTCACCCTTTAGTTCAAACTTTATTTCCTTTTAACAGTCTATCCCCCATGGCTATTTCCCAGAAAAAAAGGAGAGAAAAGAAAAGATTCCTCCGTGCTCCTTGTTTGGCTAGTGTATCAGCTGCTAGCCTACTGGCTGATCTATGAACCCAATTGAAGGTTGTGTTTAGGCTATTAGTCAGTTGCTTGACTATCTCAATTAGGTGATGATATTGTCACTAATTTACCATTTCAATTTAAAATTTTTAATATCTTAATATATTAAACATTCATTATCAACAATTTAATGAGCAAGGTGGAAGAGAGGACTGCTATCCGAAGGAGGTACAGTAATTCCTATCCAGAGTGCTCTCTCAAATTTACCAATATATTACTTCTCTCTCATTCATCAGAAAACATAATACTTCTCTCCTTGGAGCACCTTCAGAGATTATCAACCAGCTTGAGAAACTCAAGCGTGAATTCCTTTGGGAAGGGGCTGAGGATGAAAACTAACTCCATCTAGTGTGTTGGAATCAAATTTGTCTTCGCAAACAAAGGGAGGAATTGGGTTAGAAGCCATGAATATCACACTTTTGGGCAAGTGGATATGGCAGTTTGGTACTGAAAGAGAAGTTCTGTGGAGGATAAAGCAGCCGATTTAGTAGCATTGGCTGCAATAAGGACTCGGTGTCATCATGTTAATAAAAAAAAGGTTTGGTGGTATATCAATGAAATGGCCCACTACAGAAACGAGACTTCTAAAGTTCAGGGACTTGAGAGHGGAACAAAAGGCGGGGAGACTCAACCATCTCCCAAAAAGAGATGCAGCAATGTTGAAGAGACAATTATTTAACTTGCAAACATATATGGGTGGGATCAAATATATGTAATCATTGCTGATCAGCAAGAAAAATATCACTCTTTTGGGCTAGTGGATATAGCAATTTGGTACTGAAAGAGAAGTTTTGTGGAGGAGGATAATCCAAAGTATGGGGAAGATGGTTTGAGCTGGACCACAAACCTGATTTCTCAGTCATATGGATCAAGTTGTGGGAAGGGTATTATGAAGTATGGAAAACTTCTCTCAATGGACTTCATTCAAGGTAGGAAATGGTGAAAGAATACAATTCTGGAAGGATATATGGTGTGGCTCCTCTCCATTGGCAGATTTTTTCCCACATGCTTGAATTAGAAAGAGAGAAGATGCTTTAGTGCAGCATGCTTTGAAGTTATCGGTGGTCAAGTGGTTTGGAAACCATGGTTGAGAAGGAGATATTCAAGATTGGGAAATAGAGGAACTGAGCTCTCTGTTGGCAAGAATTATTTCCATTTCTCCCACTCCTGGTGGATCTGATAGGATGGTGTGGAGAGGGAGTAAGGAGTAATGATGGGATTTCCTTTGTAAAGTTTTATTCTCTTCTTTTATCAGATCACTGTTAAGATGAAGTGCCTTGGAAGTTGATCTGGAAGTCAGGCATACCATCCAAAGTGATGTTCTTTGCATGGACTGCTATCTTGAATAAGATCCAAACTGTTAACAATCTAATGGTTAGAGATAAGCTGATGGTGAACCAGTGTTCTTTATGTGAGAATGATTGGGGATCAGTCAAACATCTGCTTTTTAACTGTCCATACTCATTCTGTGTGTGGGCTCACTTTGTCATGCTTTTTGGTAAGGTTTGGGTAGATTTTTGCCCTGTTTTCTGTGTGGCCTGAGGGTTGTTTCAACAAGAAAGACAAGCTTTTGTCGTTGTTCTCTCCCCTTGTAATTTGCTGAGTCTTGTGGAGACATAGAAACAAAAGAAGATTCAGGGATAAAGCATCTCAAGTGGAGGCTCTGATAGGCAAAGCAGAAAGGCTATTGACCAAATTATTGGCCATGACCTTGTCTGACTTTTTTGGTTGATCATTTTTTGTACATGCTCTGTATAGCTCATACCTGAAGTAATGAGACCATATAGTGTTTGTGAAAGCACAATGAATGAATAAATTACTTGTAAGTTTCCTCCTTCAACCCACAGAGGGCAGAGAGGGAGTTACTACTGCCCATGCCTCTCCTATTCAAGTTATCCACCATGAGACACATGCCCATAAAACCAAAAACTACCTTTCCCTGAAAAATCATTGCAACAAGCAAAATCCCCAAACTTGTTTGTGCTTGTGAGTTTATTGATAACCACTTATTACAACATTATGTACCCGTCATTTGTTCCATACCTAAGTTTTCCAGTTAAACTTGCACTGTCAACCTTTTAAGCTAATCATGATGGAAACTTCAGCATTGTAATTTTATAAGAATTGGAGAAATACCAGATTAGGACCATGCCTACAAAAGTGTTGATGAGTTGATCAATATGATGGCAGCATCATCTCTGAGTTCAAGATCAAGAGGAAAGACAGGAACCATAATATAACACAGAACACATTTTACAACTTATATCTATTGTTCTTTGTGTGTGTATGTGTATGTGTGTCTTTGTGCATCTATGCATGTGTAGAAAGCCAAACTGATAGTGAGAGAGATGCTGTTTCATAGAGCCATCATATTGAGTCTTTGTGCATCTTTTCATGTGTGTGTGTGTGTGTGTGTGTCTTTGTGCATCTTTTCATGCATGTGTGTGTGTGTGTGTGCGTCTTTGTGCATCTTTTCATGCGTGTGTGTGTGTGTGTGTGTGTGTGGGTCTTTGTGCATCATTTCATGTATCAAGAACCTCCAACACAAGAAATTAAATTTCAAAGTTTCATTCATACAACCAATTTGAGTATCTATGACCCCAGTATATGTAGAAAATAAGAGAAAATGATATTGATGAGACCTTAAAATAAAATCATGAGTTCCACAAAGAACAGATAATGAAATTAGACAACTAGCAATCATTCAATAAGCTAAGAGCATAAGTAATGGACTAAATTGTATATGTTTGCAAGGAATGATACAAATATGTCGTTTTATAGAAAGAAGGCGTACTTTTTCTGTCGTTCATCTCAAACGAAACCATCTTGATAACACTAGAACCTCCAAACGTGAATTCTCCCAAACTGCAGAAGAATCGAAATCGGACTCAAACCACAAAATATTGACTTAGAAAGACTGTAATTGCGACTATTTACCATGTAATATTATCTTCCAGTTTCAAGATCCATAAATTAATTATATGCCGATAAAGATCCTCGGTTAGTCCAATTCATCTAGTCTTTTTAGGGTTTCAACGTCAAATAATAAAAAAAAAAGAACAAACAATGGCAAGAAAATATACAACAATACCTTTAAATGTAAAGAAACAACACTTGATCCGGCAACAATAGATCAATCTACGACCACCTACAACACCAAGATCGATCTAGATCACCAATTCCCCACCTACAAATGTTTCAAAATCCTGAACTTAATAAAAGAAGAAAAAAGAAGATCTAAAGCACAGAGAAGAAGAAAATTAAGCTTCACTAGAAGAAGAAGCCCCAAATGATCGGAAACTCTATGAAAAATCATAGTCTCGCAGCATTTTCATCGCAATCCAGCCAGAGAGAGAGAGAGAGAGAGAGTACCGGTCAGGCAGCCACCGTGGCTGCGACGTGAAGAGCTTCAGAACAGAAGAGAGAAATCGGGAGCAGTAGAGCTATTAGTTTGAAACCCTCGCGACGACTCCAATTTTATTTGGGGATGAGATGAAGATGTACGAACCACGAGGGGGAACCGAGATGGCAAGAACAAGAGGGGTTAATTTTCAAGTTGGGATCTACTATTCTACTGTAAACAAATGCTATAAGCTAACGCCATATATACAACCTATCAGCGCCTGACAGCTGTATAATTGGGAGTTGAATAAATATTATAGGACAGCTGTCCAAATATTATAGGCTATATAGCGTAAGCGTACAGCATTTTTAAATAGATCTTGATCATTGTTAACGAAAGTGATGCGGTGGATTTACACCTCGGCGCATGCTTACAACCGAAAGACAGAGAGAGGGGGCAGATCTGTTTTTTCCGAGCAACTGCGGCAAACGTCGTATTGCTTGTTTATTGGACCCGGACAAAATTGAAAAAAGTTGCTTTTTTTATGCGTGGCCCAGGGCTGTAAATGGGTCGGTCTGGTCCGAGTTAGGTAAACCGGTTGCTGTTCAGACCTCGTATCTCATTATCGAGCTTGGAACTGGCAATTTTAATCCCAACCCATTTGACCCACCCATTCTAGTGGCAGGTCATTATGGGTCAAGTGACCCATTAACGTAAGGGAAAAAGGGTCAAAGGTTGAGATGGGTCGTATGAGGGTCGAGGGTTGAGAGGATCGTATGAGGGTGGCTAGTTAGCCACTTTTGGTTCAGAGGTTAAAGATTTTAGGGTTTGAATGTTCCTCTTCTCATGTTCTCAATTTTTCTGCAATTTTTTTCACATATGCTATTCTCATAAATTGGTGAACAAAACCAGAGGCAATTATTCTTCTTCTTTGCATCATCTATTCATCTTAATTCCTCTCCTTTTTAGCAAATTAGGTGAACATGATTGAATTTCCTCATTTGCACTAGGAAAGGAAAACTGCAACTGAATGAGGATTAGGAAATTTGTCGGTCCAAAAGAAACACATGTTACAATCAAACTGTAACTTGGAGATTTCTGAGATACACCTAGAAGCCAGTACTCTTTAGGTATGACCCATAACCATAGAGAGAATTCTCTGAATTCTTGAAACTATTATATTCTTTCAATTCAATACCTCAATTGGGTTTTATACACAATTAGAGAGGGGAAAAGCTGCTACAACTATTGTAACCAACTCTAACTGACTTTGCTACATTGTTGTTATAACAATCCCCCCTCCCCACCAATTTACCATTGTCCTCAAGGGTTGAAATCTAAGAACCTATTGTGAATGGAACTCTAGTTTTCACACGTAACATCCTCTAGAGTTGTGTGTGACCACTGAATCAATACATGTGTGACTGGAGCATTATGTTGTTCGATCATTCGGTGTTGTAGTATTGCTACTAGCGGAACTCTTAATTGATTGTTCGAGTCCGTCATTGATAGTGTGGGTTGGGGACTGATATTTAGCCCAACCTCCCATTTGAGCTAGGAAACATGAAAGATAGGATGCACCATAAAAGTAGGCGGCAGGTCCAACTTATAAGCAATTGTACCAATCTTTTGGAGAATCTGAAAAGTCCTCTTAGTGCAGCCCTTGTCTACTAATTGTTTCATTCTATTTTGTGCCAGGGATAGATTATCTTTGATGAGTTGTATCATTTGTTGTTTCTGTAGCAAAAAAATCCTCAGTTGTTGCTACTGTAGACTTCAATTATAGGCCAATAGACAATTGGGGTGGAACATAACCATAGAGGGCCTGAAAATGGCATCATTTTTAAGGCAATATGGTAGCTATTGTACCACCATTCAGCCAAGGACAACCATTTGCACCACAGTTTAGATCTTTGACCCATCATGCATCTGAGATATGTTTCCAAGCACCTATTGAGTCTCTTAGTTTGCCCATCTGTTTGAGGATGATAGGTTGAGCTGAAATGGATCTGAATCCCTAATAGTTTAAAGAGCTCCCTCCAAAATCCATTAACAAAGATTGTCTTTATCTGTGACGATGCTTTGGTGTAACCCATGGAGTTTGTGGATGTGATCTAAGAATAAGAGAGCAATGGACTCGGTAGAAAAGGGATGTGCCAAGAGAATGAAGTGGGCATACTTGGTAAATCTATCAATGACGACCATAATGGTGTCTTTACTTGCTGACTTAGGAAGTCCTTCGACAAAGTCCATGCAAATATGGCTCCATGACTAGTTGGGTATGGGTAGTGGTTGAAGCAACCCTAGATAAGGGACAATCTCTTCTTTGTTTCGCTGGCATACATCACACTCGGTCACAAACTTTTGAACATTTGTTTTTAGGCCAGGCTAATAAAAAAGAGACTTAATCCTATTGTAGTATGCCTGAATGCCTAAATGCCCCCTACAGCTAAAGTATATAGGCTACTAAGAATTTGTGTCTTTAGTGTGTTGTCAAAGCCCACGTAAATTCTGCCTTGGCACCGCAAAATGCCTTGGTGATACTAATAGTGGGGTTCAACATCTTTACTAATGCAAAGGGATGCAATGAGTTGCTTTGCTTTATCTTGTTCATAGCTTTTATTGATTTTTTCCATCCATAATGGTTGAATACAAGACACAACATGGTAGCAACCTTGAGCAATTAGCCTACAAGAGCATCAACAACTCTATTCTCCACTCCCTTCTTGTATTCAATTTTTTAGTTGGATCCCAACAACTTAGCAAGCCACTTTTGTTGTAGAGTAGTAGACAATTTATGTTCTAACAAGTATTTTATGCTTTGATGGTCAGTTCGTATAGTAAACTATTGTCCCAAAAGGTAAGACCTCCATCTTGTGATTGCAAAAGCTATTACCATGAGTTCTTTCTCATAGATAGAAAGGCCCAAATTCTTGGGGCTTAATGCCTTGCTCAGATATGCTGATGGCTTTCCATTTTGCATAAGGACAGTACCAATGCCCAAGTAGCATGCATTAGTCTCTACCACAAACCCCCTTTTGATATCAGGTAAGGCAAGAACAGGAGCTAGACCATAATTTTCTTCAAAGACTCAAAGGCTTTTATTAGCAGTCTCCATCCACTGAAAATTATCCTTATTGAGCAATTATGTTAAGGGCTTCCTAATGACTCCATAGTTTTGGATGAACTTTCTATAATAACCAGTTAAGCCTAAGAATCCTCTAAAAGCCTTCATATTAGTTGGTTTGGGCCAAGATACCATTCTTTCCTCCTTAGGTTTATGGCCACCCCCTCTCCTGATATAATATGGCCAAATATTCAATTTGTACTTGTGCAAAAGAGCATTTGGACCTTTTTGCATAAAACTAATTCTGTTGCAACACTGTAAGCACCACCTTTAGGTGTTCAATATGTGCGGGGAAGTCCAGGCTATAGTTCAAAATATCATTAAAAACCAGCATAAAATGTCTAAGGTAAGGCTTGAGTATCTATTCATAATAGACTGAAATGTTGATGAAGCACTGGTGAGGCCAAAGGGCATTACTTTGAAGTCATAATGCCCTTGAGGTGTTTTGAATGCAATCTTGTGCACATCCTCCTTCATTCTAATTTGGTGGTAGTTTGCCCTTAGATCTAATTTGGAGAATACTTCAGTGCCTTCCAACTCATCGAACAAGTCATCAATCAAGGGAATAGGATACTTATCTTTAACAGTTATGTCATTTAAGCCTCGATAATCAACAAAAAGTCTCCAATTGCCTTCTTTTTTTCTTTTTTTACTAAGATGACAGGTGAGGCAAAAGCACTAGTGCTTGGTTTGATAATGCTAGTTTTCAGCATTTCCTTCACCAATTTTTCTACATCTACCTTTTGTACATATGGATACCTATAAGGCTTATAGATAACAGGGGATGTATTTGGCTTAAGGTGTATTTGATGGTCTTGAGGCCTATGTGGTGGTAGTGTAGTTGGTTCTTTAAACACTACAAAAAATTCAAATAACAATCCCTCAAATTGGTAAGAGTGTGTTATCTATGGGTGCTGCCCTGTTGTGGTGTTCATCAAGAATAATTGTTTGAAAAGCCCATAAGCCTTCCTCTTAATCATCTTATGTAGTGAATGAACATTGATAGATAGCAACTCTGCCTCTTTCGTCAAGCCTTTCAATGTCACCTTCTTACTCTTCCGACTAATGGTCAGCTAGTTTTTATTGAAATAAAAAATGACTGGACCATGAGTTTTCATCCAACCAACTCTAAGGACCATATCGCATCATCCCAATCTAATGGTTATAACATCTGTTGAGAGTTCCATCCCTTTCGCCTTCCAAATAAATCCAGGGCATATAGGTCTACTAACCATCCTATTTGTTGTGCCACCTCTGAATCCAAGAAACATTGGGTGCTCCCACTATTTATGAGAATGGTAATTGACTTCCACTTGGCCATTCCTTGAATCTTGAGTCTATGTTGAGCTGTATTGCCTACTAATGCATGCATAAACAATTCCATGTCCCCTTCTGCAACAATTTCTTCCTCCATACTCGCTGACTCTCCAAGACATTCATCATCTTCTTCCTTAGGTGTTGCGACTATAATCATATGGAACTGCTTTTTCTTTCATCTATGGCCAAGCCGCCACCTTTCATCACAATAGAAACATAGACCTTTTCACTTCTAGCCTTCATTTCTAAGTGGTAGTGCAGTCTTTTGGTAGGAAGAGTTTCATTTGAAGACTTTAGTGGGTTGGCTTGGGATTGAGCAGTAGAGCTGTAGGTGGAATTAGGATTAAATGTAGAGGAGGGAAAATTTTTCTAGATTGTTGATTGGCATTAGTAAGGGATGTCCTAGAAGTTGCAAGTGTAGGTAAGCTCAAATGGGGCCAACAATTTGGTTGCCTGAGTGGTGAACTTGGGTTCTAAGACAGAGTCTTGTTCCTTTTATTAAGGGCATCTATGGTGGTTTCCTATAATCTTGCCAGATTGAAGGCTTGTGAGAGGGTCATGGGGTTAAACATCAAGACCATGCTCCTTATTTCCTCATTCAAACCACTCAAGAAACTATCAATGAAATATTGCTCAAAAAGCCCCTTGCTTTTGAGAATCATATAGGATTTTAGTTATTCAAATCGCTTATGATATTCAACCATTGTAGATAGTTGTTGGAGCTTATTTAAATTCCCACACAATATTATCATACCCCATTTCGAACCTCTCA